TCTCCCCATTATATGGAAGCATGTTTATCTAAACACCACCATTTTGTCTGATCAGTGAAAGGCATATGATGATATACGCAACTAATCGAATTACTATGGGAATAAATGAAAATCAGAATATTTTGTGAAATGCGCGGTTCAAACTTATTAGGATCTCATTTCACTGAATTTTGGTATCGCTTTATTCATAAAAATAGATTTGAATCCATCTTAAATGACATTTGACACTATCTTATGAAATAATTATTCATCAAATATCATTCGTACACATCGAGTTCTTCAAAATCTATTTTTCAGGGTTGAAGTCGTGTAGAGCATAGTCGATTTACTTGGTACGACAACAAAACATCTGCTATAAATTCGAATGTTGAAAAGACTAATGATTGACACGATTAATGCAAAAAAATAGCTAATACTACATCAAAAAACATTGTAAATAAAGCTAAAATGTCCATCATCATATATCGTTAACACAGAATTTGGGTACATAGAGACATCGAAGATTTTGTAGAGAAAAAAATTGCTCTGTATGCTCAAAAATATAACACTTGTCGAAGAAACACCATGTAGAGGTTATTTCAACACAACACCATTATCATAATTCATCCAGTTATAATTATATATAGTATTACAAGCTAAAGTCTTCGTGCTGAGATAACCGTTGTTTAAGTACCCCTTCAAAAGTGTTATATATCGGCATACAGAAAAATTTTTTTCTCTATAAAATTCTCTATGTCAATATGTATCCAAATTTTGCGTTAATGATATATGATGATGGACATGTTTAGCTTTATTTAAACTGTTTTTTTTTACATAATATTAGCCATTCTTCGCCTTCATTTTGCCAATCGTTAACCTCTTCAACTTTAGAATTTATAACGGATCCTTTGTTACCATAGTAAGTAAATCGATTATGCTCTGCACGATTTCAAACATGGAAATTGATTTGGAAGAACTTGGCGTAAACGTGTCACATACACAGAGGAATCACCGATATATAATATTTATTTGATAAATTTATTTTTATATACAGTTCAGAACAATTGAAATTAGACCGTTGGATTATTCTGTTTTTGATTACTGTACGTTTTTTATCTATTAACCATTATATAGAGGGAGAAAGTCCAAACTGCACTGCATCTCTTGGTATGTTTACAATGAATATTAAACCCATTTAGAATGTAAAAAGTGTATTAGAAGAAAAAGTAATATTTATTTTTACTATAACACCAGGTATCCATAATGTTGTAACTTTGTTTATTTCACATATATCTCCGCTTAGATAAATAATAAAACCTTGAATTTTTTTAAAAAAGATATGCCGTGAAGAGCTCTACTAGATCTGTATGATCGAATTTCTTTTTACTTCTTCTGATGGTTTTTCTTATGCTCAAAATGAATAACTTCCATGGGAATGTTACTTCTCATCATATAGAAAATATTTTGAGGACTTTTCTGATCCGCTACAGAATTCGGTATATGCAAGTTTTGTAGAGCTTTCAATGGTATATCTTTCAAAAAAAAATCAAATATATCATTATTTTCTCAAGTCGAGATAAATGCAGAACAAAAAAGTCTTTCAACATTTTCAGTTTGATGCCAAGTGACACTGTCTTGTTGGTTATTCATTTTGAGCATAAGAAAAACCATTAGAACAAGTAACAATGAATTCGATCACACAGCTCTACTAGAGCTTTTCACGATATACTTTTTAAAACAAAAACTGAAGGTTTTATCATCTATCTAAGCCAAGATATATACGTATTAAAAAATGTTACAACATTATGGACACTCAGTATTGCAGTAAAAGGAAATGTTACTTTTTTTTTAATATATTGTCTACATTTTAAATTGTATTTGATGCTCAATATAAATATATTAAAAGATGTAGTATGTTTCGGGCTTTCTCTCTATATCTAGCAGGTTAATAGATAAAACACGTATATTAATAAAAAACAAAAAAAATCAAAGAGTATAATCTCAATTATCGTCTACTGTAATGCATATTCCCTAACTCTCTTACTAACGACGTCTATGTTAGTGTGTTATTCAGATCGTTTTTAATTTCTTTTTGATAGAAGAAAATTTCTCATTATGAAGAACACTATCTATTAAGAGAAGATATATATATGTCACATATATGTATAATTCAATTATCGTATGGAGAAATTTTTCTATGAAAACGAGAACCAGCTGTAATGATATTATTAATTAACGGTGGAGCACGTGCTTAAGAAATATTATTGTCTTCCACTTCCTATACGATAGCAATTAAAAAAAATTGTTAGCAGTTGCTGTCTAAGATATCGAATTTCGAAATAAAATGATGTATTACGTTTGATGGTTGTCCGATTACTTTAAAAAGTTTGCATGTCAAACATGAAACTTAATGAACTGTTAGAAAACTGGGAAGGGCTATCATTCTATCTAGACAGTATTATCTTTATCATCACATGCAGATTTTTTCTATCCCTATTTTTTGTCACTCAGCCATGACAAGGCGATATGTGAGTCGTCTCTTAATTATTTAATGTTTATTTTTCTTTTTCGTTCTTGATTTAAACTATGGAATAGGATTGCCTATACAGTTATATGTGCTTGCGAATAATATTCAACAACCGTCATTTCCTTGTTTTTGCACATGAATTTAATGCTAATGTCGTTTCATAATTACTAGGTTTTTTTTCCTCATCACAATTTATCTTTAGCCATGATAGGCATTAACTATTGTCATTATTGACTTACGTGATTCTCCAAAACATTATTAATAAATGGGAAATCAATACTAAAAAAATTGATTTATAGTAATTCAGAAATATTTTAGTCGTATAGATATTACCATGAGATATTGTTTTCGTTATTGACAATACTTTAAGATTTATTAATTTATCATTCAGTTTCGATTTTCTCTGTTCAGGACGTTTTGAATTACTTTAAGGAAGAAGTATTTCTGTATTAACTTAAGTCAATCATACGCTCTCTTACATCTGCACCATAAGTGATTATAATGATGTGAATAATCGAAACATTATATCACATGTCTTTATCGTCAAATGTATATATATATATTTGTTTATGGAAAGTATCTTATATCTTCGAAGTGACTATGAGATTCGAATTTGAAAATTTCATTAAAATTGTTCAGAATACTGTTCGAAATGGCAAAATTGTAGACTTGATAAATTTTACTATTGCGCTCTTTTGTCGATATTTTATATTTTTTGCATTTGTGAAAAAATTTTGACAAATAATACATTCTATATCTTATCTTTTTAGTTTCAAAGAAAATGTTTCACACAATTCAACGACAATTAAAATTATATCTGCTAATCATATGTTACTGTTTCAATTTCATAAGTGAGTTAATGAATTTTTTTTGAAAACGAAAATATAATGAATATTAGTTGGAGGTCCTGAACAAGTTCGTTTGTTAAATTATCTATTGGCTGATAATCGATACACACCAATTACACGACCTGTTCAAAATGAATCTCATACCTTACCTGTCACTCTAAATTTAGCTTTACAACAAATAATTAATTTTGTAAGTGAGATTGAATACATGTTTTCAACGTTTTCTTCAATCTTGAAAATATAAATAGGATGGAAAGAACGAAGCTATTGTTATTAGTGGCTGGATGACTATCGTATGTATGCTTAGTTATAATTAGGGATGCAACGATGATAGTTAGGCTAATACCAGTTTATAGTGGCATAAACCAATCTATATTGGCTTAGCATGTACTTGTTTTTTGCGAAATTCTGAGAAAATTATGGTTCCACTAGCAAGTTATTTTCTTAGTCAAAGATTTTGTTATAAACAAATGATTTCTTTTTACTGAAAAATAAAATGTCTGCAAAAAGAAAATAAGCACCTAACTTCGAGAAATCAACGATAGATTCGGGTCTCTTCGCTCCAATTGTCTTTAGTTCAACTTGATAAAAAAGAAGCCTTTTCCTGAACAAAAAGTATTCAGCTGAAAATTTGGAAAAACCGACTACACTCTAAGCCGCCATGGACTGGTGTAAACTATTATTCATCTAATACCGGTTATTGATAGGACTAGTCCCGATAAGGACCAGTAACCGATGAATCAAGACCGTTTATCGTCATCGTTGCATGCTTAGCTATAATATCTGTTCTTATTGTTCATATGTGTCTGTATAGAAGTGGAATGATTATAATTTAAGATGGAAACCAGAAGAGTTTGGTAATATTCAAACACTACGAATACCAAGTACACAAATTTGGACACCAGACATTTTCCTATATAACACGTTATTAATTTTCAAAGAATAGATATCTTGAAAAATGATGTTTGTTTTTTTTTCTTTTAAGTGCGGATGATAAGTTTGATACTACAGTGAAAGTCAATGCCGTTGTACAATATAACGGTGATATATTATATGTTCCACCTGTATTATTCAAATCAAGCTGTCCATTTAATATTGCCTCATTTCCATTTGTAAGTATCGAAAAAATATGTCAGTCATATCGTACTTCTTTCTTGAATGTTTGTCTTGTTTTTTTTTGGACACACAATATTGTACGCTGAAATTTGGATCTTGGACATATGATGATGCTGGTATGTGCTTGAGTCATTTTTTTTTCTAGGATAAAATGCCAAATTTTTCTGCATGTTATATACATTTTTATCTACTTAGGAGTCAATTTGACGGCAGAAAGTAGACAAGGTCAATTAGATGCATACGTGAAAAGTGCCGAATGGGATTTAGACGGTAGTTGATATGGTTTATGTGCATTTTATTCTATTCATGCTGCTTTAGATTTTTCTGCAACGAATCATGGCACCAAATACGACTGTTGTCCAAGTGTGTACCCATACGTACTGTACACTATTCGAATACGTCGACGTTCTCTTTATTACTTTACAAATATCGTCGGTAACAGAATATTAATTACAATTCTTTTTTTCTAGTCTTTGCATTAATATTATTGTTTTCTTCGCTTCATAGTACCCTGTTTTCTTATCAGTTGTATGACACTCCTTGGATTTTTATTATCACCGGATAGTGGTGAAAAATTAACTTTGCGTGAGTTAGAATATGATGATAAAAACTTTGCTCTTATACATTCTAAATTTTCAGAAATTACAACTCTTCTAAGTGCTGTTATGTTCAGTTTACTTCTATCGGATATTCTGCCACCAAGTTCAACTGCTGTACCGATTATTACCGTTTATTTCATGTGTGTTATGATCATGTCAGCAGTTTCAGTTGTTGCATCAGTATTAATATTATCACTTCATAATCGAAAATCTAGTAATTATTCAATGCCATCATGGGTAAATCATATTTGAAAATGAATAAATCACATGATTTTAGAAATTATTTCAGGTTCGTAAATATATTTGTAACTATTTGGCGTGGTTATTATGTATGAAGCGTCCTAATCATGATTTGAGTTGGCGTTCGATTCGCCGTCGATGGGCTTGTTCAAAACAAGAATCGAATAATACAAATGAATCGATGGATAATCATCATTCTAAGATTCCTTCTGAATCATTATTGAATAACACATTCGACTTATTATCAACCAATGTTACAAATATCGACAAGACACCTTTAGGATTTGCTGTACCATTAGCAACAGAAATTCATGATTCTGCTCATCATCAAAATACATCTAATGAATTGTATAGATGCGATATGAAAATGACACGTTCTGAGCTACGTGTTATTATATCTCAACTTGCTATTCTTATTAATTATTCTCGACAAAAAGAGAAAGATGATACTGATTCTCAAGACTGGCAATTTGTGGCAATGGTTATTGATCGTCTTTGTTTAGTGTTTTTTACTATAACCATGCTTCTTTTTACTGTACTCATTTTTCTCAACGTTTAACTATTTTTTTTTAGCTTTAATTTATTTCTTTTTTATTTGCTACTGAGCCTATTTTTATCTGAACCTTTTCTTTTGCCTTAAATATATATGCTTTAATAAACTTCATAGAGAATATTCTGACAATTATATATAAATGATTCAATCAATGAAATTGAACAGTACTATGTACGAAATGAATCTGAACAGCGTAAAATGAATTAATGATATCTTGTATAATAGCATAGATTTTTTTTCTTTAGTTTTCTTTCGATAAAGATGAGTATTCGACATCGAATAGTGCCAATAACAACTGATATATTTTTGATTTCTAACAATCTTTACACTTTAATTTTATTTATTCTTGTTGTTAAATTAAGAATATATTTGATTGTTTTTTCAATTTTTGAAAATAGAAACCACACAAAAAGATTATACTTCTAACTTTACCCACGTAGAACACTGAGAAAAAATTAATTTTTTTAATAATTTAATTCTAGTTTAATAACATTAAGTTCATCGACATTTAATCACTCCGAAAAAGCCGAAGTTAAAAGATTTCCTGTGTTACTTTGGTGCAAGTGTCTCGGCTATTTTTGGCTAGAATATTTAACTGACATTGAACTGTAACATACTATCGTTCAAGTGTTGAATTCTCTTACAACCTTATTAGATGTCTCGAAAGCTCGTTTCTCCTGTATAGTTACCTGTTGCGTATCATAAATTGTTAATACGATTATAACTCTTCTGGTTTCTACATTTGAAGAAAAAATCTATGGAAAATCTAAAATGAGTGGATATTGGAAACTTGTATACGATTAAGTCTATGGTTATTTTATGTCGAATAACGATTTACTTAAAATGACATATTCATTTACAATTCAAGTTCTTAGTAAGAGTTCATCGAAGTTCTAATGATCCAGTCTTCACCTTAACTGCTGTAGCTCTAACTGAAGTTCTTCAACACTAGACTATCTTGCATATAAAGCGGAGGACAAAATTTTAAGGCACTTTTTGTATTTTATTGATTTTACCGTTGTTGAAGAATAGGAAACATTTCAAAAATATATCATTAGATCCAGTTTTGAACGGGCTACATTTTGGTATAAATATTTTTGAAAAATCATCTTTTCTAATATTTAATTATGATTCATTATTAATTAACAGTTATAGAAAAATATTGTCATAATTATCGGTTTTGAGGTAAACAGCATGTTGAACATAGTTTAGCCACAACAAGGCGGAAAATAGCTAGAAACCATCGCTGAAATTAGTGATAAATATTTGAAAACATTGTGCAGCTTGAAGATTGCGTCGAAAAAAAAGGACCTAGGTCTCGTTCGATAGAATAAACATTGCTCTATAAAATGCACTATTTTTCACAGTTTTGAAACTTTCTCTTAATGTTTAATTTTCATAATTATTAATAGAATACTAATTAATTTCTAAAAAAATGCTTAAAAATTCCTATAAAGGTTGATTGTCCTAGAACAAAAACACACGAGTTTGTTTAGTTCTCCACACTCTTTCTTACAGTATACTTCAAAACTGAAAATGATGACAATATTTTTTCTATAACTGTTAATTAATAATGATTCATAATTAAATATTAGAAAAGATGATTTTTCAAAAATATTTATATCAAAATGTAGCCCGTTCAAAACTGGATCTAATGATTTATTTTTGAAATGTTTCCTATTCTTGAACAACGGTAAAATCAATAAAATACAAAAAGTGCCTTAAAATTTTGTCCTCCACTTTATGCTTTTCAGGTATTCAATAAGACGAAAATTAAATAAGACATAAATCATGAGTGTCCTTTGATTAGAAAAATTTAGGAAATGCAGACGTCTATTCAACGACACGAAGCGTGTTATTTATTTAAATATAAACCTTCATCAGTGCTTTGCATTATAACATTAAGGACGAAAATCATAATAGAAAAAAAAGAAAATTGAATTAAAAAGTAAAATGAAGACAGGGGAAAATGCGGGTGAGATCACACGAATGACTAAAAAGGTTCTTAAGTAATGTTTATTTGTTCTTCTTTGAAGATACGCAGCGTTGCATTATGAATTCATATTAATATCACTCCTGAGTATCACTAAATAAAATTGAGGACATACATGCTTCTTGTCACCAGTAAATAATTTGACTAAATTTGACTAATGAGCCAGTTGCCACTATTAAATAACCTAACAGGGTTGAGGGCACATATCATTTGTCACTCTGAATGGATTAATTAGGTTGTGTACACGTTTCAGTGGTCACCACTATTTTGAAAAGTATTCTGAGCTCGTCTGAGGGTGTGGGGGTGTGCATGCGGGTATGAACGGAGATGTAACTGGTAGTAGGGTGGGTGGGTAGGTGTGGGTGTGAGTGAAGAAAAGTCTTCATTACTCACAGTCACAGCCAGACTGAGACTTACACCTGACATTCATGCCCTAAAAAGAGAAAAGCAATAGCTGACGAGGTAAACTTGTCCACGAAAACTCTATCGACGTTTAAATCATTTAAGAACTATGCAATACTCACTTTAAAATGAATTTAGTCAGTTCCTGTACGAATCATTCCGAATTTGATTTACTAAACATACCTAAAAAAATATATATTGAAATATACTGAAAAATTTGCAACATGACTGGATAATATTGAATCACAAGTTAGATTTAAGAAATATTTAGTTTTATCAGTAGTTTTTCGTTCACTTTGCTTATGAAGTCATTTGCAAATAGTTGATACGCGAAAAAGTATCATCTGAGATAGAGGAAATATCATGAAAAACATAAGCTTTTAAAAATAAGTTTCATTCTAAGTGCATAGATTAATTCAAAATCTGTAGTCAAAGCGATGATTGATACTTATGTGATTACAGACTACATTGTCAGAAACAGAGGAGTTTCTACTCTGTATTTTACATTAATAGATGTTTGTAGAACAATACTCTTACGACATCCAATGTAAACACTATTTTACACGTTGTTGACGAGAGCAGCATGTACAAAATACACTTTGCCTGCAAAATTAAAGCTTCCTTCTTAATAAAAAAAAATCTCTTTTTATCTCAATTGATACTAATACCGCTGAACAATAAAATGTTCAGCGCGATCTCTTTTGATCAATTTTATTAGATTTTTTTTATTCCTTTTATTTCAGATGAGTAAAACTCAAGTAAAATTATATAAATTTTGGAGTAAAAATGAAGTTTCAGTATCGGGACGCGTCTCATCATTATTAGAATCAGAACGTTGTTTATCTTGAGAGCGAGAGTGAAGGCATCTCCAAAATTCTGATTGATTAACATGTTCCTATTCATGTGTAAGACAAAAAAAAATATTGTGCGGATAATTGTTGTTTATCGAATCTTATGCATTAGTTTTACATTTTGATCAGTTAAAAAAATGAACATCTATTTGTTTTTCTAGATTATATGATAAAACTCAATCTGTACACTTTGGTACAATTTGCTTGCGAAAATTATGTATAGATGTACATTTTGCTTAATGAAACCAAGTGTACAAAAACATTTTATTTCGAAATTCTATTCAGAACACTGCTTATAACATTGTGTCAATGTTTTATTTAATACACAATTGAATTTATTACACAATCTAATATTTGAAATGTACGAAAAAATATTTTCTATTAGATTACTTAATGACTGTTATTTGTCTTTTGTCAATATTTGGTTTTGATGCTATGAATTTAGCTCGACTCAACAATAAGTGGAAGAATATTGTCTTCATGCTATTTGTAGTAGCATTATAATCAAAATCAGCTGAATTAAAACAATGTATGGCTTGCATAGCATCTGATCAGAATCAATTGTCTTCAACCACGTGAACTGGTATTTTTTGTTACTATTAACCTGATGATCTATTTTCAAACACTTTATTAGAGTTTTTATGAACAATGAATAGAAAAAAATCGAATTATTCTCAAGAGATTCAAGTTCTTGAATGTTGAAGACTAAATAAATTCTTTAGTCTATTTTGAAACTACACGCATATTACCAAAAGAAATATTTCAAATAATATGTGAATATATCATATTCAAACTCTATGAATTGATGGATTATCAAATTAATAGTATACAAGGATATTCTATACTGAAGGAAGAGTGTGTTTTATTCAGTACTGAAACTTATTGAGACCATTGCGTCCCTTTTTGCTGTTGGCCATTATCTTGTCACAACGAACACTGTTCAATTTTATCATAAATAGTGTCAGCTTTCTATACAATAACGACGCTTTATGTCGTTTTGACGCTATCGTGGCGCTGCTTAATAAAAATAGACAGCATGGAGTCTCTTATTACTGAATCCTTCTTTATAACTTTCTCTTTTAATAAGCAATACGTCAATGGAAATCTCTTTTTTTCCTCATTTTCCTACTTTTTTATCAAAATCCTTCTTTCTTATTCCCTCTACTGCGACATATGATGTAGATTCTCGTTACTATATGTGTTTACGAATTGTACTATAGATCTTTTTGTTGATACTTGTAGTAAACTATTTCATCGTTTACTACATTTTCAGTTCTTTTTTTGCATTAACTTCGTTTATCATAGATAATTGAATTGTTTTTTATTTTACTGCTTGGATATGTATTTTGTTTCTGCTACTTCAAGCTTAGCATCATGTACCTTGCACATTGAATCTGTATAAAAAATTATGATTGTTAATTTTCACAACTATTATCGATTTTGTAATTAAATGTTTAATTTTTTGCTGTAGAAAGACAAGTCAGTCGTCTAATGGATGACAGAATTCTCTTAATCTGACATTATATAAGCTTTTGATTATGCGATTTAATCAAATAAAAACTAAGCAGTCAAAATTCTGAATTATGTTGTATACAAGTTTATAAATTCTTTAAATAATCAACAGCATAAAAAACATTCAATAAATGAATTTAATAAATGCAATTGATTGTCAGCAAACAGGACGATTTTTTCAAATATTTAATCAAATTAAGACTTTATGAACTTATTTTTATATTTTTTTTCTGTTCTATCAACATCACTTTTTTTTCTACTTTATTTTGTATAGACAGCCAGATATTCGAACAAAGAGAATATCAAAAAGAAAATACACATCGAAAAAAACAAATGTGATCTAATATTACTGTCCCACATCACATCAAACAACTCTCATCAAAATTTCACATTTATAATATTCGTTGAAGAATGCCTAAATGTCGCAAAAAACGAAGAGCATTTTTTTACTCTTAGATCACATAACTAAGGAACAAGTTTCTTGAAGAAGATCTCTACGAATTCTTTTCATGCGATATTTATTTAACCCTCTACCCATGATAGGGCCTAAAGGGACAAATGATTTTGAAAACAAGTTGCTTATTAAGAATGAAAAGCAATTAAAGCAAAGCACAAAACATGAAGCATATAAAACTGTGGGCATAGATAACGTGAGTTATGAGCGATAGCTTGTCAAGTCGAACCATTTTGATATGCGAGTGGAATGCATAGACCATCGATGAACGAGTAGCTTGCGACGTGTAGAACAGAACAGAGTTATATGAACATGGTGCTGTGGGAGGGAAGACTCGAACACGATGCTTATTCTCGAGAATCCAACATATTACCATTGTGCCAATCCCCTCACAAGGTCTCTACGAATTTGTCGTCTCGGTTGCTGTCTTCTTTAAGATACTAGAATCATAATGGCCACTACCCGTTTTTTCGAGACGGTATGTTCGATGGAGCTAAAATTCTTTTTACAAACACTAAACTCTATCTGGGATGTGTCTCTTTTTAATCCTTTTTTTTTGTACATTGTATCAAAAATCAGCAGAAATAATAAAAAACATCCATTCTACATAGTGTTTATTGTATGCTAAAAAGTGTCAGTTCGATCAAACATACAAGATCAGAGAACGAGTATATTTTCTACACTTTTTTCTTTTTTTTTATAACGGTATGACTTTGGAAAACTCGAAATAGTATACCATTTTGATGAAATTGATTATTTAGCGTTTCAAAATCATTTTTAGATGCCTAGCAGATATATATAACTTCAAATTGTATAATGGTCACAAAAACAAAATACAAATTTGACGCCACGAATCCTTGGGCGATTCCTAACGGTCTTTATCAAATATTAATGTATCTTTACCACTATTCTTAGTATATTCTAAGTTAAGTTTATTTATTAATCAAACATCAATAGCAAAAAATAATACAATCTAACTAAAAAAGAACTTTCTTAATGTTTATTGATCAAAATTGAAAAAGCTTATCCAACATAAATGACAGTTTGATAGGGCAATTGATTTAGATAATAAACTAAGCCCATTAAACCTTGAAAGTCCATTGTCCCATTACCATATCTATTGATATGTGGAATAAGATATTGTGCATACACTAAACAATTCAATATAAACAAAAAGATAAGTATTTAATATTCATGAATACACACTTAATGCTTGTTGGGAAAGACCTAATTGTGGGAGGTATAAATATGCATCATTTATTGTTATGTATCCATTGCCATATGGATCATATTGTGTAAACAAATAATACATCTGTCTTGGTTTTTGATATTGTGGATCTAGAACAAAATTGAGACAACTTTTTTATTCGAATCTGTAAACTTGTCTACATACTGGTAACGATATTAGAAATAGGTTTAGCAGGTTTGCCTTTAAAGTCCTTTTGTAACATATGAGCAGCTTTGTTCGCAGGTTTGGGAACTTTAGGTTTAGGCTGTGCAGGTTTGGGAACTTTAGGTTTAGACGTTCCAGTTTTAGGTTTTCGAGCTTTAGGCTTTGCAGTTTTGGGTGTTGTATCAGCTGGTTTAGGTTTTGCACCACCAGGTTTAGATTTTGCATCACCAGGTTTAGGTGTTGCATCACCAGGTTTAGGTATTGCATCAGCAGGTTTAGCTTTTATATCACCAGTTTTACCTTTTGTATCACCAGGTTTAGCTTTTGTATCACCAGGTTTAGCTTTTGCATCACCAGGTTTAGCGTTTGCATCAGCAGGTTTAGGTATTGCATCACCAGGTTTACCTTTTTTATCACCAGGTTTAGCTTGTGCATCAGCAGGTTTAGACTGTATGTCAGCAGGTTTTGTCGGACTAGCCTAAACAAAATTTAAAATTATCAATTGCATAGAGTAAAAAACAACCTATTCTCGTATTGGTTTATTCGATTAAAGTATGAACCTACCCCTTCCACATCCTCCTGAGGTTCAGCTGATGGAGTTTCTTGAGGTGCATCAGATTCTTGCGGTTCATCAGTTTCTTGAGGCGCATCAGATTCTTGCGGTTCATCAGTTTCTTGAGGTGCATCAGCATTTTGAGATTCATCAGCTTCTTCAGGTGCATCAGCGTCTTCAGGATCATCATTTTCTTGAGCATCATCATCTTCTTCTTGAGGATCATCATCTTCTTCAGGTTCATCTTCTTCATCAGGTTCTCCTTCGACATTCGATGCTTCATCATAATAGCCATCTATAAATGAATTAAAATCCTCCATGCCATTCTCTTGAAGCATAGACTTGAATGCATCTTCATCGAACTGTTTGCTATTATCCACATTGTCATCCGACATTGTATTGTGTTAATCTGAAAAATGAAAAATATTTATTAAAAATAAAATTACTACCTTAACTTATGACGCTTTCATCATTGCTATTATTCACTAATATAATATACATATGAAGGATATAAAATACAATCAAAGCATAGGATTATGGCTCATTTATATAACCATCGATGTACATTGTTGAATCATACGTTACGCATGAAGGACTTTATTTTTTTTGTTAAGACTAGGATAAATTATCATCGTTAGAATATCAACGGAAAAGAATAAATGTATGACAAACAGCAAATAAGAAAATATTTTGAAATAGTTTTGAATGAAAACAAAGAGCAGTTTAATACATTTTGATTTGTTTACATGAGTGCATTTTTGTTGATGCTTTTGAATAATAAAGTATGAATAATTGTATCTTATTTATGTATGAGAGAGCATATCTCTTTATCCTTGGATATAATTTTTTTCTTATATGATAATCAAGTGAATAGTTTTTTATTATCGCTGATTTCAGTCCAATACATCATGACACTATATCGTTCGATGACCTTTAACGTTTATTAAAATTTTGATTTAGTTGCATTTTAAGAGATATAATTTTTGAGTATATATATAAGTATTGATTCTTCCGTTTAAATTTAATGTAACACATAGAAAATCTTTCAATATTTACATTTACTAAAAAATTGAGAGAGGTTTCAATCGATTTTATGTAATAAATGAATATTTTGACACAGCTTCATATGTTTATTTTTTTTTAGGAAAAACTGTAAAAGAAAATTGATTGCTTACTTATCTTCAACTCGTAAAATCGATTCATAAAGATAAACAGGTAATAAAACTTACAAATAGATATTTCGCATACGAGGAAAAAAACAAAAAATATATTCAATGGCCATATGTATGTACAGGTATGTAGTCTATACAAGTTGTATACTGCTGAGAAAAAAAATCAAAAACATTTGTTTATGATTTTTATTGATGATAAATGGAGTACATTTAAATGTAAAAGTTTACATATGCGTTGGTCGAAATCTTTTTGGACATTTGAATCATTCTTTAATAAACTTGCTCTGATCTTTTGATCTTAAATCTGTTAAATATCAAGTAAAAAGCAAAGAGATAGAAGAACCAATAAATTAGTAAACATATTCTATGTATTGTTTACATTCTCTGCATTCTTGTTCAATCAATAAACCCATACTATATCCAAATATACAAGAATCATTACAAATAAAAATATAATAAACCAAGGTCATAATGACATTTTCATAGTGATTAATTCGGTAAGTACAATATAAAATTTTTATAATAAACAAAATCTAAATTAATCACTGTCAATATATAAATTCTATAGAAGGATAGTAAACATTTAAGAAGGAAATAATTAATGTATATGCAAATAATCTGTTTTCTATAGAAGAAAAAGATATGTACCAAATTCATCTACAATTTATCGTTTGTTAAGCTTAATCAACAATAATTTATCACTAATATAGAAAAAGACATGAAAAATATTCTCTTTCCAACTTAATCTATTCATATCACTGTCCTCATATCAAATAACTTTAATAGATAAAATTAAATACATATATTTAGAATAAACAATAAATTATAATTAATTTGTAAATTAGAAGAGAGAGAAACAAAAAAAACTACTTTCAGCATTCTCAACATAATCAAAAAATGCACTTGAAACTAAATAAATAGGGTTAAGGTAAGTATATATTTATCTAAATAAAGTAAAGCAGAGAAAAAAACTATTATTGATGAACAAAATTACATGAAGATATTTTCTTGATCATCTATTTTATTTTACTTGAAAAATAATATTAAATTGAAATAATTATACCAAATATGAAATTGATATTATGTGTTTTTTTTTTGTTTAACTATTATATTGTCGAATATTCATTTGTAGAACATATTGACCAATGTAATTAAGAAAATAAAGAAGTCAATCTATCCTGTACGGTTTAGTGATCTAGTATGCAAGTAGAACAGAAAAAAGATGTATATTTAAACAAATCAATATCAAATGCACTACGGTGTGTTGCTCCTGAAATTTTGTGAGGGATCGAACATAAGATCAATATCAGTTGATAGAGAAAACCTTTCTCTATCGAATTGCACTTTCATTTTTTTTCGAAAAAATGTTTATAATGAGAAATACTCAACACAATATGTTCAATGTAAATACAAATAGTCTTTAATGGTTTCAGCATGGGAGCAACAATACAAAAGGACGGTTTTGTAGAAGAATAAATCATTCTAAAATTTCTATTTTGCTGAATTTAAGCTATTTTTCAGATCTGACGATCATCTTGATCGTTATATCTATTTCAAATACTATTTTACAAAAATAAAAAAATACGATCACAGAAAAAAAAATAGAGGTATTACATTAATATTAGCACTAAATTAATGTTAAAACTATTACTTTTGTGTTATGACCCTAAGACAAAAGTATTGCAATTTGTATTGATTAATGAAATGCGAAAGCGAAGCCGTATCACTTACTAACCTTAATAATGTATTCATATAGTTTTAATACAAAAGTATTATAGCTACCATTAAATTCATGTAATAAGAGGTATTACTTTATCCTTACTTTATGAAATAAATATAAATACCATCTTTGTATTTATAAAATAAAGTAAAAATTCTACTAATACTTATTCTTTATTATAAAGAAAAACATATATAAAGTAACACTCCTAAAGGCAATATCGTATTAACTTAATGGTAGTAATAATCTTTTTCTACTAAAATTATAACACAAACGTATGGAAATGAATAAGAAATATGGCTTTGTTTTAGCGTTATATTACTCAATATGAATCGTAACACTTTGTCTTATGATCATAACACAAAACTATTGTTATTAGCATGAATTTGATGTTAATGCTAATCCAACACTCCTAGAAAAAAGTTATTGCTTGTGCTTTAGTTTTGATCGATATTTCTTTCTAAAACATGTTGCTGGTGGTACTCTTGATTTAGATGGTACAATGTGTTTTCTAAAAAGGAATCAAAAGACGAGTTTTAAAAAAATTATTGGAATCGAACTTGTCGTCAATTATGTTGTTGGGGTAGAATGTAACGAAGAAGAAGAGCATGATGTGCTATCTATGTATGTACGAAAATAATTATTGTTTGTGTATAGTATAGAACCATAGTGCTATTGTGCGCTATTCTCATGGGTCGCTGACATTCATCATTCGCTATTGGTTTTTATTAGTTGATAGTTTTCTCGAAAATTACTCTGGGATCGAAAAATTTGACTTGATCAGAAGAACTGTCTATTATCCAGCAACAATTGGTGTTAAGAAGAGGTTTGTAAAATGTGGTTAGACAACTGGCGCCACCAAGGGCATTCGTATGTTGACGATTTGATAATGATTCGATGGTTCATCGCTATTAGATGGTAGACTAATTGTTTAAATAAACATTGACAACTTGACGAAAATTTGAGAAATTTTTTTATTCTCTAATATTTAATCAATTCTATAACAAGTTTTTTATCTAAAAATGTCTGATTATCATAGATGAATGTAATCATAATAAGAAATTCTTGTCGATGAAATTGTAAAAGATTCAAAAATGCTTGAAATAGATTCAATCATCTGAATAAAAAAACTATCAAAAAGAAGGTAGTTTCTTATGTTTGTCTCTTGATTATTTAAGCAAAATTATCCTCATTTACGTTTTAAGTAGATCATCACAAGCAAACAACATAACATTGTGATGAAATAATAGAAAGAAACATGATATCATTCATTTTTTTTCACTGATTTTTTTTGTCGAGAAGAAAAATAATACATTTTGTAGAAAAGTTAAAAGAAAATTCAATTTAAAAGTATTTGAAAATCAATGTCATCTATATCTTTTGGCACGTCCACATATTCACGACGAAACGGAAAGTTGACAGGCACTGAGGTTCGTTTTGTTTTTGTATTATCTGAAAGGGAGTTTTTTTTTTCAAAATTGATTTTTGAAAGGAAACCTCTGTGTTCATCAGAGACTGAAGATTCAGTAAAATTTTCTACAGTCTGATTCGATGTGATTTGGCTAAATCAAATCGAATTGAGTTAAACTGAATCCATCGAGACCGTTCTGCTCGAATTCATTACTTTTGTTGTATTTTGAATAGGAGCAAAGATTTTAATGCACTGGTTGCTGCTGTAGTACAAAATCGTTATTCGAAGTATGAAGTTTGCAATTTCAACCTCTTACATGAATTGTGCACCTGTCGGTGTGTTCATCTCAGATTATTAGAATATTCTGCTGTCAGATCAATAGCGTGAGTGAGATGAATTTACAGAGGTATTCGAAAGAACAATATTATATTGTAAAGATAAATCGTTACAAGCGTTCTTTCTTTCTGGTCATTAAATATTTTGATTGTGTATATTCCTATCTTAAGAATGGATTTTCAAATGCTTAATACACGCAGTCATAGCCTTCAAAATAATTAGCTGTACCACGAGCAGTTCCCGAATATGCATTCTGTGCTTATATTGTATCTTATTGAGGCAGCTAAGTCAGTGATGTTACCATCTGTGAAAGATAATTTACATACAAAGTTGCATTACTAACCATTAGTGGCATATTCATCTCATGCAATCGCTAAAACTCTCTTGAGCTTCAGCGGTTACTATCTTACAGATAAATGATCAGTCTTCAATTTTGCAAGTTTAGTCATCAGAAATATGACAGAAAGAATTATAAACGTGTTTTCTTTTACCTTACCCATCCAGGTTGATGATTCATGAAGCAGTATTCCATGCATTTCCGGCGGAAACCTGCAGAAAACACACCGTTTCCAGCCTGAACCTGCGGAAAAATGCCAGAAATTTGACGCAGGAATCCGGTGACCGTATCCAGCTGCCGGTTTTTCGATGTTTTCCTGTGGGAACCGGTCCATATTTCACGACTTTGGTAGTTATCAATTACAGTTATTCTAAAGAAAAAGACTGCCGAGTGAATTCGTTATTCATAAAAATCAATCG